AATATTGCGTTCCACAAGATTTTCTATGGAAAATATTGCGTTTCACAAGATTTTCCATAGAAAAGGTTACGTCCCACAAGATTTTCAATGGAAAATATTACGTTCCACAAAATTTTCTATAGAAATTATTGCGTTCCCAAATATTTTCTATAGAAAATAATGCGTTTCACAATATTTTCTACGGAAAATATTACGTTCCACAATATTTTCTACAGGAAATATTACGTTCCACAAGATTTTCTATAGAAAATATTATGTTCCACAAAATTTCTGTAGAAAATATTACGTCCCACAAAATTTTCATTAGAAAATATTACGTCCCACAAAATTTTCATTAGAAAATATTACGTTTCACAAGTTTTTTTTATAGAAAATATTATGTTCCACAAAATTTTCTATGGGAAATATCATGTTCCACAAGATTTTCTACAGAAAATATTACGTTCCACAAGATTTTCTATAAAAAATAATACGTTCCACAAAATTTTCTATAGAAAATATTACGTTCCACAAGATTTTCCATAAAAAATATTATGTTCCACAAGGTTTTCTATGGAAAATATTATGTTCCACAAAATTTTTTATGGAAATATTACGTTCCACAAAATTTTCTACAGAAAATATTACGTTCCACAAGATTTTGTATGGAAAATATTAGGATCCACAAGATTTTCTATGGAAAATATTATATTGCACAAGATTTTCTATGGAAAATATTATGTTCCACAAGATTTTCTATAGAAAATAATGCGTTCAACAAGATTTTCTTTAGAAAATAATGCGTTCCACAAGATTTCCTATAGAAAATATTGCGTTTCACAAGATTTTCTGTGGAAAATATTACGTTCCACAAAAATTTCTACAGAAAATATTGCGTTCCACAAGATTTTCTAGAGAAAATATTTGCGTTACAAAAGATTTTCTATGAAAAATATTATGTTCCACAAGATTTTCTTTGGAAATTATTATGTTCCACAAGATTTTCTATGGAAAATATTGCGTTCCACAAAATTTTCTATGGAAAATATTGCGTTCCACAAAATTTTCTATGGAAAATATTGCGTTCCACAAAATTTTCTATGGAAAATATTGCGTTCCACAAAATTTTCTGTGGAAAATGTTATGTTCCACACTCTTTTCTGTGGAAAATATTATGTTCCACACTTTTTTCTGTGGAAAATATTATGTTCCACAAGATTTTCTATAGAAAATATTACGTTCCACAAAATTTTCTATGGAAAATATTGCGTTCCACAAAATTTTCTATGGAAAATATTGCGTTCCACAAAATTTTCTATGGAAAATATTGCGTTCCACAAAATTTTCTATGGAAAATATTGCGTTCCACAAAATTTTCTGTGGAAAATGTTATGTTCCACACTCTTTTCTGTGGAAAATATTATGTTCCACACTTTTTTCTGTGGAAAATATTATGTTCCACAAAATTTTCTATAGAAAATATTGCGTTCCACAAGATTTTCTGTGGAAAATATTACGTTCCACAAAAATTTCTACAGAAAATATTGCGTTCCACAAGATTTTCTACAGAAAATATTGCGTTCCACAAGATTTTCTATAGAAAATATTATGTTCCACAAAATTTTCTACAAAAAATAATGCGTTTGACAAGATTTTTATTAAGAAATATGCGTTTATTACGTTCCACAAAATTTTCTATAGAAAATATTATGTTCCACAAGATTTTTTATGGAAAATATTATGTTCCACAAGACTTCCTATACAAAATATTGCGTTCCACAAGATTTTCTGCAGAAAATATTGCGCTCCACAAAATTTTCTATAGAAACAATTAGGTTCCACAAGATTTTATATAGAAAATATTATGTTCCACAAGATTTTCTATAGAAAATATTGCGTTCTACTGGGTTTTCTTTAGAAAATATTATGTTTCACAAGATTTTCTACTAAAAATATGATGTTCCACAAGATTTTCTATAGAAAATATTGCGCTCCACAAGATTTTCTTAGATAATAATGCGTTCCACAAGATCTTCTATAGAAAATATTGCGTTCCACAAGTTCTTCTAGAGAAAATATTATGATCCACAAGATCTTCTGTAGAAAATTTTAAGTTCCACAAGATTTTCTATAGAAAATATTGCGTTCCACAAGATTTTCTATAGAAAATATTGCGTTCCACAAGATTTTCTATAGAAAATATTGCGTTCCACAAGATTTTCTATAGAAAATATTGCGTTCCACAAGATTTTCTATAGAAAATATTGCGTTCCACAAGATTTTCTATAGAAAATATTGCGTTCCACAAGGTTTTCTTTAGAAAATATTGCGTTCCACAGGATATTCTATAGAAAATAATGCGTTCCACAAAATTTTCTACTGAGATTATAGGTTCCACAAAATTTTCTTTAGAAATTATTGCGTTCCACAATATTTTTCTTTACAGAAAATTACGTTTTATTACATTTTCTATTTAAAAACGGAGATTGGGTCTCTAAAAATATATTCCCAATAAATTTCATAAAATTTAACTTCAGCATGACATCGCCTCCATCCATCCATTTCTAATCCAAACACACAAAAACTGTCCAACTTTTCCATGGCCATTTAAGAAGAAATCAATGCATGTTAGTTGTTGTTGCCAAAAATTCAAACAACAAATCTCTTGTAACAGCTTATCTGGTAATCTGTACTGCTGTTGTTTTTATTGTTGTTGTTTATATTTTTTGTTTCTTTTCTTTTTTTGGGGGGGAGGCCATAAAAGGAATTGCTTCCATGAAAGTATAACGAATTTTTATTTGGATCACAAAAGGAAAATGTAAATGTCGAAAATTTCGCAACGAAGCTGGTGCAACAAAATTTCTTTGTATAGTGTGGGAGGAGGTTGGCTCGTTCGACGTTGTGGTCAATGTGTGCCATTTTGGCCACGGATGCTGATGATGCACTGGAATTGATATAAACATTATTATTTAGATTTATGAGCCATTGTTATTGTTTGATTGCCATTGGTACAAATGTGGGCATTAACGATACGAGCAAAGATGTGTGGGCTCTCCTCCAAGATGGACAAAATGTATCACAGCCACCATACCAAATGTCAAGGGTATTGGTATCCTTAAATTGAATTTTGTTGTTCCAATTTGCAATTACTTGGAAAAATTATTTCGTCCAAAATTGGAAAGCGGTGGGGGGGGGGGAAATTCAAGAGACATAGAGAACAGAGGCTGCTGGTGAAAAGTCAAGGTAAATGGAAAAGTGGGCGGGGGGCTTTATTTTCCATAGAAAATGCTTTGGAAGGTTATATTTTCCATAGAAAATCTTGTGGAACGCAATATTTTCCATAGAAAATCTTGTGGAACGCAATATTTTCTATAGAAAATCTTGTGGAACGCAATATTTTCTATAGAAAATCTTGTGGAACGCAATATTTTCTGTAGAAAATCTTGTGGAACGCAATATTTTCTATAGAAAATCTTGTGGAACGCAATATTTTCTGTAGAAAATCTTGTGGAACGCAATGTTTTCTAAAGAAAATCTTGTGGAACGCAATAATTTCTATAGAAATTCTTGTGGAACGCAATATTTTCCATAGAAATTTTTGTGGAACCCAATATTTTCTATAGAGAATTTTGTGGAACGCAATATTTTCCAATGGAAATATTGTGGAACGTAATATTTTCTATAGAAAATCTTGTGGAACGCAATATTTTCCACAGAAAAGTGGGTGGAACTTAATATTTTTCAATAGATAATCTTGTGGAACATAATATTTTCAATAGAAAATCTTGTGGAACATAATAGTTTCAGTAGAAAATCTTGTGGAACATAATATGTTTTATTGAAAATTTTGTGGAACGCAATATTTTCTAAAGAAAACCTAGTGGAACGCAATAGTTTCTACAGAAAATCTTGTGGAACGCAATATTTTCCAAAGAAAATTTTGTGCAACGCAATATTTTCTATAGAAAATCAATATTTTTTATAAAAAAAATTTGTGGATCCTAATATTTTCTATAGAAAATCTTGTGGAACATAATATTTTCAGTAGAAAATCTTGTGGAACATAATATTTTAAATAGAAAATCTTGTGGAACATAATATTTTCTACAGAAAATCTTGTGGAACATAACATTTTCTATAGTAAATTTTGTGGAACGCAAAATTTTCTATAGAAAATTTTGTGGAATGCAATATTTTCTATAGAAAATTTTGTGGAACACAATATTTTCTATAGAAAATCTTATGGAACACAATATTTTCTATAGAAAATCTTGTGGAACATAATATTTTCCATTGAAAATCTTGTGGAACATAATATTTTCCATAGAAAATCTTGTGGAACGCAATATTTTCCATAGAAAGTTTTGTGGAGCGCAATATTTTCTATAGAAATTTTTGTGGAACGCAATATTTTCCATAGAAATTTTTGTGGAACGCAAATATTTTCTATAGAAATTTTTGTGGAACGCAAATATTTTCTATAGAAAATCTTGTGGAACGCAATATTTTCTATAGAAAATCTTGTGGAACATAATTTTTTCAATAGAAAATCTTATGGAACGCATTATTTTCTATGGAAAATCTTGTGGAACGCAATATTTTCCACAGAAAATCTCGTGGAACGTAATAATTTTTTATAGAAAATCTAGTGGAACGCATTATTTTCTATAGGAAATCTTGTGGAAGTCTTGTGGGACGCATTATTATCTAAGAAAATCTTGTGGAACGTAATATTTTCTATAGAAAATCTTGGGGAACGCAATAATTTCTATAGAAAATCTTGTGAAACATAAAATTTTCCATACAAATGCTTGTAGAACGTAATATTTTCCATAGAAAATCCTGCGGAATGGAATATTTTCCATAGAACATTTTGTGGAACGTAATATTTTATATTGAAAGTCGTATTAAAGTAAATGTGGATTGTAATTTTTTAGCTTTTAAAAAATTCGAAATTTCAATTTTTAATTATTTTTTCTCGTAACCCAACATTTTTCCTCTTTCTTTCTTTTCTCTTCCAGATTTCCCCCTACAATTTCTGGGTCATGAAGAAAATGTCAGCAATAAACAAAAGCAATATTACGGTGAGGAAGAGAGGATCCTAAAAATTGCAAAAAGGCAGTTTCCCAAGAGAGAGAGAGAGAGAGAGAGTGAGAAAGGCCAAGAGAGGAGCACTCAAAGAGCAACTCAACAGGATCGCAAGAGAAGAAGCAGCTATCAACACAAGCCACCGCTATTTTCCCACACTTAATACGACACTCACCGCTTGTTATCCTAAAAAAAACTAGAGAGAACAAGAGAGTTAATAATAATTTACAAAGAGTTATATTAACTCTCTTCAAAAAAAAGATAAAGAGAGTAAAAAGTAGTTGGATTTACTCTCTTTATTTTGGCCATTCTTTTTTTTTGGTTTTGTTTTCTTCTTGTTTTTGTTTTGCATTTTTTTTTTTGTTTTGACTCAAATCCCACCGCTTGAATCGTTAACACACCCACCGCCCAACGCCAACCTTCACCTTGGGGTCTTTGGTTTAATTTTACATTGAAACATTCCGCCACATAGCATGGCCTCGGTCGCCGCTTGGCTGCCATTCGCACGGGCGGCGGCCATTGGTTGGGTGCCCATTGCCACCAATCCCCTGCCCCCAGCCCCCATACCCAAAGATCGTCGCAAGACCGACGACGAAAAGCTGCTCATCAACGTCTCGGGCCGGCGCTTCGAGACATGGCGCAACACGCTCGAAAAGTACCCCGACACCCTGTTGGGCTCCAACGAGCGCGAGTTCTTCTACGACGAGGACTGCAAAGAGTACTTCTTTGACCGAGACCCGGACATCTTTCGTCACATTCTCAATTATTATCGCACTGGCAAACTGCATTATCCCAAACACGAGTGTCTCACCAGCTATGACGAAGAGTTGGCCTTCTTCGGCATTATGCCGGACGTCATAGGTGATTGTTGTTATGAAGACTATCGTGACCGCAAACGGGAAAATGCCGAACGTTTAATGGATGATAAGCTCTCAGAGAATGGTGACCAAAACCTGCCGCAGCTAACCGACATACGCCAGAAGATGTGGCGGGCCTTCGAGAATCCGCACACCTCGACGGCCGCCCTGGTCTTCTACTATGTGACGGGCTTCTTCATCGCCGTTTCGGTGATGGCGAACGTGGTGGAGACGGTGCCCTGTGGCCACCGTCCCGGCCGAGCTGGTACACTGCCCTGTGGCGAACGCTACAAAATCGTCTTCTTCTGTCTGGACACAGCCTGCGTCATGATCTTCACCGCCGAATACCTGTTGCGTCTGTTCGCGGCCCCGGATCGCTGCAAATTCGTGCGCAGCGTGATGAGCATAATCGATGTGGTGGCCATCATGCCGTACTACATCGGCCTGGGTATCACCGACAACGACGACGTGAGCGGGGCGTTTGTCACGTTGCGGGTCTTCCGCGTCTTTCGTATTTTTAAGTTTTCGCGTCACTCGCAGGGTTTGCGAATTTTGGGCTACACGCTCAAGTCCTGTGCTTCCGAATTGGGTTTTCTCGTCTTTTCGCTGGCCATGGCCATTATCATTTTCGCCACGGTCATGTTCTATGCTGAGAAGAATGTGCACGGTACGAACTTTACGTCGATACCGGCGGCATTTTGGTATACCATTGTCACAATGACAACATTGGGGTGAGTATTCTCTCTCTCTCGTTTTGCGGAGTGAGAGAGGAAAATGTAATTGCCTCTTTTCCTTGCAGTTACGGTGATATGGTACCCGAAACAATAGCGGGCAAAATCGTGGGCGGTGTCTGCTCGCTCAGTGGTGTGCTTGTGATCGCCTTACCAGTACCTGTTATTGTATCTAACTTTAGTAGAATTTATCATCAGAATCAACGAGCCGATAAACGAAAAGCCCAAAGGGTAAGACGATGAAATTGGAATTGAGAATCAAATGTGATTTTCTCTCTCTCCCTTCTTCTCTTCTTTTGCCATTACAGAAAGCCCGCCTGGCCCGCATACGCATTGCCAAGGCCTCATCGGGCGCTGCATTTGTTAACAAAAAGAAGGCTGCCGAAGCCCGTTGGGCTGCCCAGGAGTCGGGCATTGAATTGGATGATAATTATCGCGATGAGGATATTTTCGAGTTACAGCATCATCATTTACTCAGATGTCTGGAGAAAACAACGGTGAGTGGAACATAAAAATACATAGATAAAAGTTCGAAGGAAAAGGCTTTCTGGATACTCGAGGTCGAAGGACCATTTCTCGAAAAAAAAGTGTTTAAATATCAGAGAAAAGTCTGTGGAACGCAAGTTTTTCTGTGGAAGACCATGTGGAACGTAATATTTTTAATAGAAAATTTTGTGGAACGTAAGATTTTCAATAGAAAATTTTGTGGATTGCAATATTTTCGATAGAAAATTTTGTGGAACGTAATATTTTCCGTAGAAAATTTTGTGGAACATAATATTTTCTAAAAAAATCTTGTGGAACATAATATTTTCTAAAAAAAATCTTGTGGAACATAATATTTTCTATAGAAAATCTTGTGGAACGCAATATTTTCTATAGAAAATTGTGTGGAACATAATATTTTCTATAGGAAATCTTGTGGAACATAATATTTTCTACAGAAAATCTTGTGGAACATAATATTTTCTATAGAAAATCTTGTGGAACATATTATTTTCTATAGAAAATCTTGTGGATCCTAATATTTTCTCTAAAAAATCTTGTGGAACATATATTTTCCATAGAAAATTGTGTGGAACGCAATATTTTCCATAGAAAATCTTGTGGAACGCAATATTTTCTATAGAAAATCTTGTGAAACATAATATTTTCTATAGAAAATCTTGTGGAACATAATATTTTCTGTAGAAAATCTTGTGGAACATAATATTTTCTATAGAAAATCTTGTAGAACATAATATTTTCTATAGAAAATCTTGTGGAACGTAATATTTTCCATAGAAAATCTTGTGGAACGTAATAGTTTCTATGGAAAATCTTGTGGAACCTAATATTTTCTATGGAAAATCTTGTGGAACGCAATATTTTCCATAGAAAATCTTGTGGAACACAATATTTTCGATAGAAAATCTTGTGGAACGCAATATTTTCTATAGAAAATTTTGTGGAACCCAATATTTTCTATGGAAAACTTTGTGGAACCCAATATTCTCTATAGAAAATCTTGTGGATCGTAATAGTTTTTTTATAGAAAAGTGTGTGGAACATAATATTTTCCATAGAAAATCTTGTGGAACATAATATTTTCTAGAGAAAATTTTTTTTTAATAGAAAATCTCGTAGAACATAATATTTTTTATAGAAAATCTTGTGGAACATAATATGTTCTAGAGAAAATCTTGTGGAACGCAATATTTTCCATAGAAAATTTTGTGGAACGCAAATTTTCTTTGGAAAATCTTGTGGAACGCAATATTTTCCATAGAAAATTTTGTGGAACATAATATTTTCCATAGAAAATCTTGTGGAACATAATATTTTCCATAGAAAATCTAGTGGAACATAATATTTTCTATAGAAAATCTTGTGGAACATAATATTTTCTATAGGAAATCTTGTGGAACATAATATTTTCTATACGAAATCTTGTGGAACATAATAGTTTCTATAGAAAATTGTGTGGATCGTAATATTTTCTATAGAAAATCTTGTGGAACATAATATTTTCCATAGAAAATTGTGTGGAATCCAACATTCTCTATAAAAAAAATCTTGTGGATCGTAATTTTTTCTATGAACAATTTTGTGGAACGCAATATTTTCTATGGAAAATTTTGTGGAACGCAATATTTTCTGTGGAAAATTTTGTGGAACGCAATATTTTCTATGGAAAATTTTGTGGAACGCAATATTTTCTATGGAAAATTTTGTGGAACGCAATATTTTTTATGGAAAATTTTTTGGAACATAATATTTTGCATAAAAAATCTTGTGGGACGTAATATTTTCACTAGATGAATCATAATTTCTATGGAAAATCGTGTGGAACGTAACATTTTTTTAAAAAATCTTGTGGAACATAATATTTTCTATAGAAAATCATGTGGGACGCAATAATTTCTATTTTCCACAGAAAATTGTGTGGAACGTATTATTTCCCATAGAAAATCTTGTGGGTCGCAATATTTTCTATGGAAGAGTGTGTGGAACGTAATATTTTTTGTAGAAAATCTTGTGGAACCTAATATTTTCCATAGAAAATTGTGTGGATCGTAGTATTTTCCATAGAATATCATGTGGAACGCATTAGTTTCTAATAAAAATTGTGTGGGCCTCATTTTTTTCATCTCGAGTACCCAAAAAGCCCTCCTTTGACCAAATCTTTAACTCTCATTTAATGCTCTTGTTGCATTTAGCAATAGTTTTCATTATTTCACAATTCTTCGTTTGTTTCGTTTTCATTTGTTTGTTTCTTTCCATCTTTCTTTTACTTAAAATAATTTTCTAATATTCTTTTTTTATTAAAAAAATTTAATTTTTATATTTTTTCTTTTTTTTTCAAAACAAAAAAAAACGAAAATCCTCAAAATCCAAAAAAAAAACAAACAGATGTAGCAACCATTTGTTCTGATTACAAAAAGCAATGACAACATATGTATTTTTTATAAAATCTAAAAAAAATGTTATTAACTGCATTTTTTCTAAAATACAACAAAAAACTTAATACCAAAAAATCAACAACAACAACAATAAAGAACAAAACAATTCGTATACAATTCACAAACAATTTTTAAAATGAATAAAAGAGAGACAAATTCGTGACAACTTAGAAGCAAGTTATTAATGAAAAGTGCGTATTTTTTATAAAAAAAATATTATTTGTTAAAAAAAAATATTATTTTTCTAAAAAATAAATTTGGAAAAAATATCTAAAGAAAATTTGTATTTGCTAAATTTTTGTGTTTGTATGTGTATGTGTCTCTGAGTGTGCAATAATTGTTATTTAATTTTATCTATTCTCTCTAACTTTGTAAGAATTATATTTTTTTTTTTTTGTAATTTTTAAGTTTTAAATTTTAAGTTTTTGAAAATTGTATTTATTTTTATAATTAATCTGCATATAAATATATTTTTAATTTGGTTGTGCATTACCATTTTTTTTAAATAATATTAATGTGACTGTAAAAATCATCATTTTGAAAAACTCATAATTTTTAATAATTAGTGGTTGATTTTAATTATTTTTTTCACTGCTAGAAATTTAACATTAAAAAAAAATATTCAACAATATAGCTTTAAATAAATAAATCTATTTTTGTAAAAAGAGTTAAATTTAAATTTCTGTATAATATTAATTTTTCAAATCTTATTATAATAATAATATTAGTTATGTTTATTTTTAATTTAATTTTTAAATTAATAAATAATTTTATAAAAATACAAAATTACGTTCTCTTTTTATTTATTATATTTTGAATTATTTGAGGTTTTATTTTTATGGGACCCATGAAGAGATTTTATTTTTAGGAATTTTTGTGAAATTATGAGAAATTGGGAAAATGTGCTAAATTTGTAAGAAATATCCAAATTTTTTTTATTAACAAAAATTAATGCCAATTTTTATATGGCACATATTAAGTTTACAAATTTCTTTTGTTCAGAGACCCTCAATGAAATTCGATGTAGAATAATTCTTACTTTGACACTTTCCACAAAAAATGGAGTATAAAGGGAGATTTCGACTCGGATTGGAGACGCCTTAAATTAACAGCAAAAAATTACAACACATTATTTTCACTTTTAGTACATAAAGGTTGAATGTAGTTTTCATAAAAACTATTGTGCCTAGATATGTGGTTTATTCGGAGATGTATAGTGAAATTTTGTGTTGAATATTTCTTCCATTGACACTTTTCGCCTAAAACCAAATTTTATTAAATTTTCGGGTGTCAAATCAAAAAATGGCACGGGAAAAAATGTGGAAATTTAGGGAATATTTTTGTCATTTTTTTGGGAACCTTGGTGCGAATATTTTTTGGATATACAATGGAAATAGAAAGTTCTTTTCTTTGATGACTCATAGTGAAATTTAATGAGGAATATTTTTGTCTTTGACGTCATCCTTCCAGAATGATGCTTTTTTAGGAGAATTTAGCATAAATTCACATGAAGTACGGTTTTACCACAAAAAAAGGAAGTATTTTTTTTGCCGTCTTTTTGGCAAACATTGATGTAAACATTTCCTTAATATATAATGAAAATATAGATTTCTTTTCTTTGGTGACTTATAGTGAAATTTAATAAGGAATATTTTTGTCCTCGACATCATCCTTCTAAAATGCTGTCTTGTAGGAGAATTTAGCATAAACTCACATGAAGTACAGTTTTAATCCAAAAAATTTAAAAAATTTCTCGTGTTTATTTGCCAGCATTTATACAGATTTTTCCTCGATATATAATGGAAATACAGATTTCTTTTCTTTGGTGGCTTACAGTAGAATTTGATATATAATATTTTTGTCTTTAAGGTTATCCTTCTAAACGGATGTCTTGTGGGAGAATTTGGCATAAACTCACGTGAAGTACGGCTTAAAAAATAATGAAAATATTTTGGCGTTTTTTTGACATAATTAATATAAATATTTTTTTTTGATATACAAAGGAGATAGAGATTTCTTTTCTTTGGTGACTTATAGTAAATTTTGATGAAGAATATTTTTGTCTCTGACATCAGCCTTCTAAGATGCTGCCTTGAAGGGGAAATTAGCATAAACTCACATGAAAAACGGTTTTACCACAAAAAAAGGAAATATTTTTTTTGTATTCCTTTTGGAACATTGATGTAAACATTTTCTTGGTATATCATGGAAATAGGGATTTCTTTTCTTTGGTGACTTATGGTGAAATTTGATGCGGAATAATTTTGTCATTGACATCCTGCTTCTGAAATATTTCTTTGTTGGAGAAGTTTGCATATTTTCAAATGAAGTACGGTTTTAACAAAAAAATATTTTCGCTTTTAGTTGGCAACATTGACACAGATTTTTCCTTTATATATAATGGAAATCGGGATTTCCTTTCTTTGGTTACTTATAGTAAAATTTGATGAAGAACATTTTTGTCTCTGACATCATCCTTCTAAGATGCTGCCTTGTTGAAGAATTGAGCATAACCTCACATTAGGTACGGGTTTATCCCAAAAAACAAGAAAATATCTTTTTTTTTTGGGTTGGCAAACATTGATACAAACATTTTCTTGATATATAATGCAAATGGAGATTTCTTTTCTTTGGTGACTAATAGTAAAATTTGATGAAGAATATTTCTGTCATTGACGTCATCTTTCTAAAATGATGATTTGTGGGAGAAATTAGCATAACTTCAAATGAAATACAGTTTTAATCCAAAAAAATTGAAAAAAGTTCTCATGTTTATTTGGCAGCATTGATACAGATTTTTCCTTGATAGATATTGGAAATAGATATTTCTTTTCTTTGGTGACTAATAGTAAAAATTGATGAGGAATATTATTTTCTTTAAAATTATTCTTCTAAAATGATGTCTTGTGGGAGAATTTGGCATAAACTCACGTGAAGTACTTTTTTCACCCAAAAAAACAAGAATTATTTTTGGGTTTTTTCCAAACATTGATACAAACATTTTCTTGATATGTAATGCAAATAGAGATTTCTTTTCGTTGGCGACTTATAGTAAAATTTGATGAGGATTATTTTTGTCTTTAAGGCCATCCTTCTAAAATGATGTATTGTGGGAGAATTTGGTTTAAATTCACATAAAGTTGGGCTTTAAAACAAAATAGAAAATATTTTCGCGTTTTCTTTTTTTGATATCATTGAAGCGAATTTTTCTTTGGTATATATTGGAAAAGGAGATTTCTTTTCGTTGGTGACTTATGGTGAAATTTAATGAGGAATATTATTGTCTTTAAAATTATCCCTCTAAAATGATGTCTTGTGGGAGAATTTGGCATAAACTCACGTGAAATACGGCTTAATATAAAAATAATGAAAAATATTTTCGCATTTTTTTGACATCATTAAAGCAAATGTTTTCCTGGTATATAATGGAAATCGGGATATCTCTTCTTTGGTGACTTATGGTAAAATTTGACGAGGAATATTATTGTCTCTGACGTCATTCTTCTAAAATGATGATTTGTTGGAGAATTTTTGCACAAATCCACACAATGTACGGCATTAACCCTAAAATGTGTTTTTAATGTATACGAATTCCTGGCATTTAGGTAAGATTTAGACCCTTGACGTCTTCTAGAGCATATAGCAGAATTTTATGACAAATAATTTTGTGGAATATTGTGACTTCATACGATCCCTTTATTGAGGGTTTTTAGTCATTTTTTCAAAAAAGCACCAAAAAGACCCCTTTCATCGCTCTCTTGAGGGTTAAATTATTCCACCAAAATATTCCTCGTATTTTAAGCTGCAATAATGCCAAAGACTCTATATTCCCAAATTGCACGAATTTCGAGGAATCTCAATTTGAACATTTTGTAAAAGTGATGAAGAGGGGGGAAATTTCCCCCGCTATTTAGGCTACGTTAAACTTTCAAAACGCGGATGCATGTGTTTTCTTTTGTTAGCTCTAATTTCATAATTTGCTGGATTTTCTCCCTAATTATATTTGGTGTTGCACCATGTAATTGTAGACGTCTCTGAGAGAATTTTTGAAAAAAAAAAAAACAAGTAAAAAAGCTGCAAGTTCGGCCGGGCCGAACTTTGAATACCCTCCACCATTTGGAACGAATTTGGCAATTCTCAAAAACAATAATAATCGTTAAAAATTCTGTTAAAATTTTAGAAATACCGAATGTAGCTGTTATATTAGGGTCAATACGACGACATGGACCTGCATAGGTACTTTGGTGGAGGGTATAAAAATACTATATTTTCAAGGTCCAATAATCCTGAATAAAAAATGGATTTTTTGTATTTCAAGAATGTTAGTTCATTATCGTTTTAAAGGTATTTAAGCAGTAGAAACTTTTGTACACATTTTTTAATAATTTGTCTGCAAAATCATGGGGCGGTGCATACTTTTAGGCGCATTGTATTTTTATACCCCACACCACATAGTGGTAAGGGTATTATGTCTTTCTGCATTTATTTGAAACAGGCAAGAGGGAACGAGATAGTCAGGCAAAAGGAAATAGACATTCTGCGTCGATTTATCCATGTCCGTCCGTCCGTCGGTCCATGTATTTTTGTAACCAAAGTACAGTTCGCATTTATTGCCCTATCCAGATGAAATTTTGCACAAATTATTTGTTTGGCCCAAGGACGATCTCTATTGAAATTGGAGAAAATCGGTCGAAATTTAGATATAGCTCCCATATATATCTTCGTCCGATTTGCCTTTTATTGTGCACGCAATGTGAAATAATAGTCCAAATTGGTTGGAATTTTGCTCGCACAACCAAATTAGGCCTCAAAATAAGTATGCCAAATTTGATCGAAATCGGTTCAGATATAGCTATAGCTCTCATATATATTTTTCATCCGATTTGTTATTTTTGGCCTCCACAGCCGTAATATGCACTCTGTAACACCAGTATTTGGGGAAATATATGAAATACAGCTCAGAAATATCTTTGCCAAATTTTATCAAGGTCGGTTCAGATTTGGAGATAGCTCCCGTATATAACTTCGTCCAATTTACCTTCTATTGTGCACCAAGCGTCTAATATTTGTCCAAATTGGATGCAGTTTAGCACTTATGACCGAATTGAGCCTAGAAGCTATTATGTCGAATTTGGTGAAGATCGGTTCAGATATAGCCATAGCTCCCATATATATATTGTTCTTCCGATTTGTTATATTTGTTACCCACAGCCGTAATATGCACTCCGTAACAACGATATTCAGGGAAATATATCGGACACAGCTCGGAAATATCTTTGCCAAATTTTATCAAGATCGGTTCAGATTTGGATATAGCTCCCATATACATATATATCAAATGTGCAATATAAGTCCGAATTGAAAAGATATAAATGCTTCGGTATATTT